GTTCCTAATACCATTCGCAACTTGGTCAGGGGGTTTGCTACGAGTGATAGGGCTTTACTCGAATTCAGCCTGGCCCACGCCCGGCAGGAGCAGAGAGACAGTCTTCAGAGGACTCTCGCAGCTGGCGTCCAAGCTGACCTTGAGGCCTTGAAGCTGTCTTCATCCGTACTGTCGTCGCAGAGCCTCGCAGACATCGCCGCAGTGCACGGAGACTGGAAGCGTAAAAGGCATGCCGGGGGGTGGACGTTGAAGTGAGTTCTGGTGTGGGGGCTGGCAGAAGAGCTTCCCAACGTGCCACACCTCGAAGGCCCCCGAATCTGTGGCCAGCTTTTGAAGCAGAGCCTCCATCTTCTGCACGAGGCTGCAAGCCCGGAACAAACCGCATCCGACGGTGGGGGAGGCCCGGCGCCGAGCCAGGGCCCTGCATGGTGCCGGGCGGTCGGCACAGGGCTGCGTGTGCATGGAATCCAGGGCCGGTGCTGCCGGCAGCTGACGGCTTCCACGGGAGCTCCAAGGCGGTCGCGGCCGAAGAGGCGTCCGGCCCAGCCTTATTCTGTTTTGATGCAGCAGAATTTTGTTTTGATACAGACTGCGACGGAGAACCCAGGTGGGAGTGCCAATCGAGGCCAGCAAGTTCTCTAGAGACCCTAGAGGAAAGGAATGCTCTCCGTCTGTCTGTCTCTGTGTGTGTGTGTGCGATGCCAATTGCACGATTTTCCTGCCGTCGGTCCAAGCACTCCCAGCCATTCAGAACCAGGTGCCGAGAGGCCTTCGCTTGTTTGATCTGCTGCGCCTGGTGAAGGAGCCTTTCTTTGACAAAACGCGTGCTCATGGGCCGCACACTTTCTGCAGCAAGGACAACGCAGAGTGGCTTCAAGGCCCCACGGCCCGGGGAACGGGCCGGAAGAACATGTACGACGTCACTCCCGAGCTCATCATCGCACGATCCCCGGGCACCCGGAGAGTGGAATTGCCTTCGCCATCTGGCGCTGAGCAGTTTTGACTTTGAGCCGAGGTGGCCACAACGTGCGGCTTGTTGTTCATTACGGGAGGGTTTGCCTGAGTATCTTCGCTTGGTCACTGCAAAGACCCACTGCGTCTCCGTCTCTGTCGCTCTAACTCTAACCTCGTGAGGCCACGAACGGATCGTAGAGCTGACGGCGGAGGATGCCGAGAAGATCACGCAATCCCTCGCCGGTAGTGATGACGAACAGTCTCACCGGATCTTTGTCAAGGGCTCCCTCCAGTGTCGGGAGGGAGCCAAACTTGGAGGGGTCCCTGTGGAAGCTCGGCTCGACTGTCTCATGCGACATTTTTGGTGAAGCCTCTGCGTTTCAATGGATGTCAATGTCTTCCCTTTTGGTCGTCGGGTGCCAGTACGAGTGTCGGAAGTCAGGAGAACCTGGTGATCCAGGGAATCCTTTGCCGGTTGCTCAGACATGTCGCATGATCGGAGTTCCCAAAGCAACGGATGCGAAAGTCTGCGAAGCATTTGTGTTAGTATCTGTGTCGATATGCGAGACTCGAGGCGAGGAAGGTGCGCAGCGCCGGGATTACTGGAACCGTGGCAGTGATGCTCGGTTGATGCACATGGGCAACCCGCATTACCCGGCAAATACTTGCGAGGGCAAGTCGCAGGTACGGAGGTTTCGGGGAGGCAGATGCGACGACTTCTGTCAGGAGCGTCAGGAACTTTGGCGCACCACGGACAGGCACGGACGCCGGCTGTCTCAGGACCCTGGGCAACATGGAGCCTCAGCAGTCATGCAAGGGTTTGGCGATGACATCAACGGTGGTGTTGGGCATTTGCAGGATGTGATCCCCGAACAGCTGCTCGGGAAGCAGCTCGGCGAGCTGAACGCCCGCCGACAGAAGGAGCGGCTGAAGAAGCCGGGGACGGTCGTGGTCCTGCGCAGCGGCGCACCTTGATCGCACCTGCCAAAGTCAAGACCTGCGAAGTTTGCGGCCAGGGGCAGCAAGCACTTGGGCCAGGTGGCTTACGTAGACGTCATGAAGCAGGGCCCGTTTGCTCCCCTTTGCGCGTTCGTCTCGCACTTCTGGGGCGAGGACAGCGGGACGTCGCGAGCTGGCAAAACAAAGTGGCCCCGGAGCCTCCAATGCCTCCATTAACCAGATGCCCCAAAGACGCATTTCGTGCACGATGAGGAGATCGAACCGGTTGAACCCTTGTTTGGTCGTAGGATGCTGAGATGGGGCTGTCGCAGGAAACGCTTTCCTTCGCCAAGTCCTTGCGACTGCACGGTGAGATGATGCACCCAGCAAATCCAGGACACCCGAATCCTCGAGTTTTTGTGTTGCTGCAACTTTGAACGCAAGATCCTCGTAGTGTCAGCGCGAGGAGCCATGTGCTACTACATCTGCTCGTTGCTTGGCCGAGCGGAGCCACAAGTAGGCAGCTTCCAACGCCCATCTTGAGAAGTACGGACAGAGATGTGGAGAGACATCTATTTGACAGCTCAGGTTCTCGAATTGCCAGCACATGGTGGCCGGCTCCCTACAGAGTCCAACAGTCTTACAGTCGGCAGTCTACAGTCCCTCGACCACCTCTGCAGGATCTTGGAACAGATTGGCAAGTCTCCCCGTTTAATCGGGCCCTGGAATATGTCGCAAATTGCTCCTCCCTGAGTTGCTGGAATCTGCGAGCTTTGGCGTGGAGTGGGTCCAGATCCTGTCTTTCTCTTTTGACTTTCATCGTGAGGCCGCCACGTGAAGCAGGATCCCGTGTATTGCGCGGTGATGCTGCGCCGGTCTCGGCGGAGCGTGTTCTCTGCGAATATCTTTGTCGGCCTTCAGCGCCCTCGTGGCCGGCCGAGGTTCGACGAGAGGTGCAGCACGCTGGAGTGGCACGGCGGAGTAGAGCTGTTTTGCAAGTTGGACAGAGATCTGTTCTCTGTGCAGACGCATGGGGCTCCACTTTGAGGCGGATCTGGTGCATTTTTGAGATCTGGCGCTGCTGCAAGTTGGAACTTCGGCTGGACTTGCGCCTCAATCGCACGTTGTCTCGTCCCACCTGGA